AAAAATTTAGATAAATTCCTCGTCATTCTAATAATTTCTTTTATTATTATTAATTTTTAATTTTTTTTACGTGATCTTTCATTACTTGATTTTATTTATATATAGAAAATTAAAAAATTCAAATATATCAGACGATAATGTTGTCAATCCTGGTATAACCCATGACAAGGTAGGGAGCGGTTTGTTATTTGCCATTACAAAATGTTAGCTTGTTAATAATTGATCACTCTTTGATTTTTTTGGCTAATTTGTTTTCTGGGTTTGTTCATCTTCTTTCTTTCTGGGTTGGTACCAAAGTTTTCGTTCCATTCCAAGCACCTGAATTAAAAAACACTCAACAATACAAGACATGTTTGCTAAGATGGTGAGTGAGTTTGTTCTGCTAATTTTTTGTAAATGTATAAATTCAAGTTCAAATCAATATTTTAGAACTAATTAAAAGAGAGGTTTAAGTAATCTAGATGATGTGCTTAATGTTTAGAAAAAGATTGGTACGAGAATATCATAAATATTAAACTTAAGAAGAAAAAAGAGAAAAAACGAAAGTTAATGCTTGACCGTAATGTAAAGAACTTAGAAAGTGCAATAGATTATGCTTCTTTTTTTTGTGATTTTTAATAGTGGATTTGCCTGCATTTGATATTTTTTTTTAGTATTTTGTTTATAATTTTAATATGTTGATGTTAAAAAAATTATTATAATATTTTTAAATAAAAAATATTTTTAAAAATTAATTTATATCACAATAACAAACACTCACTAATATAAATGTGTTTGGTCATGAATTGTTTTTATAAAAATATATTTTGATTAAAAATATATCAAATAATTTTTTTTAAACTTATTTTCAGTATTTATATACAAGTTTAAACATATTTTGAAAAGCATTTTTAAAAGTAATGTAAATATCATATCAATTATTATAGAGTTTATTTGTTTTTGTGTTTAAAAGGTGTTTTTGAAAAAATAATTTTTTTTCATTTTTTTCTTGGTTTTAAATTATTTTTAGGTGATTTTAAATCATTTTAATATGTTATTATAAAAAATAAATTTTAAAAAATAAAAAAATATTTCAATACATTTTTAAATAAAAAATATTTTTAAAAACAATTGATATCACACAACATCATAATATTTCATATGTTAATAGTGCACGAAATTAACCATGGAATGGTTTTATCTTTTCTTCTTTATTTTTTCTTCTCGTTTGTTTATGTTAATTTAATATAGTAATCATCCATTTTTCATAAGGTTTATAATTCCACCATGCCTGGACTAAATCGGTCAATCAGAGGCAAACCATGTGCGCAGCGCTTTTATATTTGCCAAAGACACATTCCTAGACTTGCTGGCATTTGGTTATTGTAGCATATTTCAAAATATAAAAATTTATTTTAAAATTAGAATTAGAGGCAAACTATTTTTTTTCAATTGACATTCTCCCTCAATTTTACCCTTTAAAAATTTAACTTATTATTTTAAAAAATTTCATCTTAAATATTTATTTTAAGTCAAATAATGTTTTTTATATTATCTAAATTATCTTTAAATATATTAAGTTAAGTAAGTTATGTCATATCAATTTTCATGTGGTTCAAATTTTTTCTACTAAAATAAATAATAAAAACATCTAAATATTATTTTTATATAAAAAATTCAATTCAATAACAGCAAACCAGTAATCTTTTGCAAACCTAATGTGCAAAGGGGCGAGGTGTGCTGGAAAGTCCAGTGTACCAGTTTTCCTCTGTTCTCATCCTTTTTCATGGAATTAGACCAAACAAGGCAGAGCCGTGCGATTATGTATCACACGTTTTAGGAATTGACGGGTCGACACCATGCCACGTAATAATTATGGCATGGCTAGGAAACCATTACTTCTCGAACGGGGTGGTAGGGAATATAATAATATTATTTTTTAAAGTATTTTTTATTTTAAAATATATAAAAATAATATTTTTGGCGTCCCTACATTAAAATAATTTAAAAATATATTAATTTTAAAAAAATTCAAATTCTTTTAGAAATACTTTTAAAATGCACTGCCAAACCCTATCCTCATCCAAAAAAACATAATATTAAAGTCTATTCATTTATTTGTTCAGTTTCCTCCTTCCAAGGGTCACAGCTAACGTGATTTGCGGGTGGCATCAGTCAGTCAGGGTCTCCCTTCCGGTCCAAATTTCCAAGTATCTGAATAAGAAAAATCTAACAATACCACAAAGTATTTGTTCTAAGATTTCTTCTTAAATGTATAAATCCAAAGACCAACTTTTTTTTTAAAAAAAAGATTTATTTTAGATGATGTGATTAATGCTTTGGTACGAGAATGTCATAAATAGTAAACTTTAAACAAAACAAGAATAGAAAAAAAAAATGTAAAGAACTTCAAAACCGTCTGGGAGAGCGATATATGTATATTATTTAGATGGTTTTCAAGAGTGTGTTTGTCTTGAAAAAATATATAATTTTTTTGTGTTCTTTTAATAATTTTTATGTATTTATGTTAAAAATAAAAAAATATTTAAATTAATTTTTTTTAAAAAAATATTTTTAAAAACACCATACACCACAATACAAAACACACACTTAATATAGTTGATTAAAATACATCAAATAATATTTTTTTATACATATTTTTGGCATTTATGCATTAAAATTATCTAAAATCACATGAAAAATATAAAGTTGTTGTTTTGAAAAGTATCGGCCAGTAAGAAACAAACCAAGTCCATGGAAATGGAAAACTATAATAAGACTTCAGAATTTTTAACCTGGATAGTATAGTTTAACTATCTGATTCTAAATTTATTTTTTAAAAATTATTAATTTAAATTTTACAAACCTTGAAACTTTGATGACTATTAACTTTAAAACTTATAAAATTAATCAAAATATATGTAAACTAGTACAAATATCTATATTAATAATAAAAACAAATCTTCAGGATTTTGAAGAGGTTGGTGTAATGGAGAACACACCCACAATACAACTTGTTGCAAGTATAGAGGATTACACTACAGTTTACTCTCGATACATTTTCTCTGCCAAGTCATCGATACATTGCCCAAAATACAAGTTGATGATGAGGGATTGACCCGGCAGTGCACATCGTGAAAGTTTTGCTCCCTATAAAAGGGAAGCCAAGAGGAAGAGTTGGCATTGATTATAGCTGCTGCATTCTCTCTCTAGCTTATTGTTTCATCTCTGAATTCCTGCATGGCTAAATCCTGTGCATCTCATAAAACGTCTTCCATGATTTCCATAGTTCTGCTTGCAGGACTGTTAATGAGTTGCCTACATATAACAGGTCTGGCTTCCTCCGTCTCTCATACAAACATGCGCGCAACACTTTCACATTCGCCAAAAACTCATTCCTAGACTTGGTAGTATTTAGTTATTGTGCCGGACAGATGAGACGGAGACAATGAGTTATTTTTGAAATTATAGAAAATATTCACTTCAAAATTATCTTAAAAACTATTTATTTGATGTCACCGTATCTGTCTCTTCGACCAACACATCTTCATCTCTTTTGAACCTGCTCAGTCTGTCTTGAGATACTAATCAAATACAGCTTTTAAATGACTGCAGGTGCTCAAATGGGAGTTTGTTATGGAACACTTGGTGATAATTTACCATCGGAGCAAGAAGTAGTAGATCTTTTCAACCAATACAATATACGAAGAATGAGAATCTATGATCCAAACCCAAGAACTCTCCAAGCTCTTGGAGGCTCCAGCATCGAGCTCATGTTAGGTGTTCCGAATTCTGACCTTCCAAGCATTTCTTCCAGTCAAGCCAATGCAGATGCATGGGTGCAAAACAATGTGCTCAAATACAGTAATGTCAAATTCAGATACATTGCGGTTGGAAATGAAGTGAAACCGGGTGATGATTTTGCTCCAGCTCTTTTCCCTGCCATGCGAAACATTCAGAACTCAGTTTCTGCTGCTGGCCTAGGGAATCAAATCAAAGTCTCCACTGTTACCTTCGCTGCCGCACTTGGCGAGTCCTACCCTCCATCACGAGGCGTTTTCAATGCAGAATACCACTCACTTCTGGCGCCTATTATTAGCTTCTTGGTCAGCAACCAGTCGCCATTTCTCGTGAACTTGTACCCTTACTTCAGTATCGCAGGAAAGAATGACATTCCTCTTAATTATGCACTTTTAGTACCTGATCCATCTGCCACAGTATCCGATCCACCATTTGAATACCACCACCTTTTTGCTGCTATGGTGGATGCTGTTTACTCTGCACTTGAAAAGGCTGGTGGGGGTTCATTGGAGATCGTCGTATCGGAGAGTGGTTGGCCCTCGGCAGGAGGGGGACCAGAAACCAACATTGATAATGCAAGAACATACAACACAAACCTGGTTCAGCAAGTGAAGAATGGCACTCCAAAGAGACCCGGAAGGCCTATCGAAACTTACATCTTCGCAACTTTCGACGAGAATCAGAAACAACCGGAATACGAGAAATTCTGGGGGCTCTTTCTTCCAAGTAAACAGCCCAAGTACCAAATTCAACTTGACTAGAAGCAGCATAAAAAGTGTATCAGGGGAAGAAGCCAGGCCATTTGTCTTGTGCAAGAAACATCATATTTCTAATTAATATAGGTTCATATAGCATCATATTTTCAACTTTATGAAGGAATAATGGTTTGTTTAAGTCTTATGAATATCATTATATAGCCTTGTAAATCCAACATCTCATGGGAAGGTAGACTTCACACTTGAATATTTTGTTGGCTGAAACTTAAAAAGCAGAATAATATAAATTATATCTATACCACCTCATTCTATCTTATAGAGCCCATGTAAATTTCAAGCTACAAAAAACTTTCCCTTAAAGGGTGAATTAGCAAGATACACAGAGCAAATTGTACCATAATATATAGTCATCAATGACAAAACATGAACAGTGATAGCCCTGAAAATATTGAAGGCAAATTTTGTCATAGCAAATGAAAAATTGGCCATGACCATGAAGCAGCATAATAATTCAGATCCAACTCTATCATACGTGAAGAAACTGAACACTGACATGTTCAGTTGTAATGCTGAATGATCAGACATACCCAGAGTTTCATTACAAGCTTAACACAGGCCAAATTTTACATTGAGGATTCACCGACTCTTTTTCCCATGACAACTTGGTGACTGAATGAGAAGATACACACTTGATTCCACACACACTTGATTCCACCCAAAAAGAAAAAAAGGAAATACAGATAAGAAAAAGAATAAAGTAATTAGCTACGGACTTCACAGATTGAAAAGAGTTCTACCAGCGCAGCAATGAGATTTGCAAGTTATCCTCTCAAACGCTCTTCAATCAGATATGGAAGGGTCATTAGAAATTCCTTGTAAGAGTTTTTCTTTGAAGGCCTTGAGTGACCTGATCTTGGAGTTGCTTCAGTGTCTTGTTTGAACCGCTGAGTGACTGAGTAAGAAACATTTTAGTTGAAAATCCTTTGTTATTTTCCTCTAGCGTTTGAATTACCAATTTATGCTGAAAATTAAATGCTGACATCTCAGTAATGTCCGTTTATGCTTAAAGAGGGATTCTGGGAAGCACCAGTGCTCTTTCTTCTAATGCCAAACGTATCACCATTATATGTAGACCAAAGTGAGAGTGCATTCTTATATGGCAAGTTCTGGTCAAGGCATGAATCTTGAAATCCTACTCGTTGTTTTGGTGTGCTCATCGACCTTGCCTTTAACTTTGCAGATTGTGTTGCAGCCATGTAAGTTGGAAAAACTGGAGAATTTGGCAACGAATTACCATCGCCTGCCAAACTTGGTCGTGCGCGGCCAAATGATCTTCTGGGGACGGACATTGGTGAGTTCAATCCTTCTATGAAATCTTGTTTTTGAGTACTTCTGGTCTTAACTTGTGCTGGGCTGAATACATCACCAGTAAACAGATTAGAGATGGACGTTGATTTCAAATTCTCCATCTTTTCTCTATTAAAGGCCTCTTTGTTTGACCATCGTTCCATCTGATGACTCTGTCTACCACTTTCCTTGGCGAGTAGCAATTCTTCCAGTAGACTATTCCCTCTCTCCTGAAAAGTTAATGTTGTAGAATTCGAATGTGAGAAGAAAAGGGCTAGTGCTTAATTTGGTTTTCAGTAGACAGAAAAAGTCTGTTTCTTAATTTTCGTTTCCCTGTTGCAGGCTGTAGAAAAAGAGAGAGCAGTTGACAAGGGAATTTAAGAGAAAACTACCCGGTGGGAGAATGAGTATTTCATCATTCGCTCTCTTTTAATGTTAGCTTCTTGCTTTTTTAACCACAGAGCTTCCACATCTTCCTTTGAAAGCATACTATAATCCCAACTTCTTTGGCTGTTGAATTCATGCTGCCCACGAAAAAAAAATTGAATGGATCAAGCAGCAGAATTCAGCATCCTACATAAATTTGAATATGCAGCCTTTTTCATGTCAATCAGGTATTAGATTTTACCATGTGTACTGGTTGATTATCTTTTTTATGGTTCTTCCCCTGAACAGAGAAATCAAGGATAGTGTTAAATCACATAGAGCTCAGTCAACGGTATGTATTTTCAATCTCTGAAGAGACAAATATCCTCTACGGGATAGAAAAGAAAATGGCTTCTTAAAAATCATTTCGGTCGCTGTAGAATCCCATTCTTGCTATAATTTTTCTTTCGACTACGCTCTTTAGAACATTTATCGAGACCAAGAAACATAAAAACTTGATTCGAATAAACTTTCATACCTTCTTTTTTTCCTTCTCTGCCAACTCCTTATTTGATTTGAAGAGCTGTGAAGTCATCTCTCCTACCTTATTTTCCTTCTCTCGCACCTCTTTCTTTGACTTGACAACCTGTTTATTGTCACTGTTTCTACAGAATCCATCTGCAGTGGCAATATCTTTTGACTGGACCTCTGACAGCATCTTTGCTTTTGATGGCAGATGCTTCAATTTGATGACTGCTTGGCGTCTCACAGCTCGTCCACGAACAATGGCTTGAAGCTTTACCAATCCCTTCAGTGCTCGCAAAGCTTTCCTTGCCTGTTTCAATCCCATTTAAAACCCAAATCACGAAGTGCAGCATGTTTTTTTAGAGAGCCATTAGTTTCACAGCTTTACTCAATTCACAATAGTGCCAGAACTGCTTGAGCTTAAATTCGAATCAATACTGAAAACTATAGCATCTTCATTCTTTCTTCACAGAAGTTCCAACCAAAATAGTAGCAAACCACTCGGAACATAAGAAATAGGCTGCAGAAAGTGCTTTTTACTAATTTAATGCGTGAATTAAGAGAGGCACAACATGAATTTTCCATGTTGGAAATTTTCAAATGATTGAAACGTTCTCTCAGCAACATTCTCAAATCCTAGTGGTGTATTATTTCCTTGTAGAATGACTTCAAAGTTCAAATTGTGATTTGAATTTTCCAATCTTCTTAATCAAAATCTCGTCTATAAATAATTTTTGCATACACAAATCATAAAATGATCTCCCTTGAAGTACTACAAAAAGGCATTATCTTAGAGAATTAGAGAAATAGCACTCTAACACCCATCTGCAGCGTCAACAACAACATATATGAACTCAGGAAGTTCTAAGAATATATAGCATAACCCACAATAAAATCAAGATGAAAAAGGAAGGAGTTCTGTGGTGAAGAAGAGCAAAGATATCAGAGAGCTCACAAGGTATGCACGGAAGGCGCTTTGTATCTTAATGGCAGCCAAAGTTTCAACTCCCTTGGTGAAAAGATGGGAAGACTGTGAAGCACCTGTGAGCCGGACAACCTCAGCTGCAGCATGAGCTGCAGCAACAGCAGCCTCAGCTGCAGCTGCTGTTGCAAGGGCAACAGTCAAAGCATGCTTCTTCTGCGTTTCTGTTGCTTCACTGACTGATCTCTCTGGTGCTGGAAGTGCAGGGCATTGTTTAACCTTAAGCCCTCCAAGAACCCATTTCCACCTCTTTGACTTCTGAAATGGTTAAGATTAAGCAGACAAAATTAACTAGAAAGAAATGCAAAATCCCCAGTTAAGAAACCAAAAAAGTTTATTAAAAAAAACCTTTTCTGCTTTTGTTTTTTGCTCAGAGACAAAAAGCCTCCTCACCCAACCAAACCAGCACCTCTTCTTTGCCATTGAAGATGTGTGAAATCAATCACTATACCAAAACTCATCAAACACCATCTTCTTGTGTTCAAGTAAACCTGAAATTTCGGCAAGAAAACACTAACCCTTTACCAAATTTATAAAGAACAGTCAAAAGCAACATCTATTAACAGGAAAAATTAGGGGGGGGAAGGGAAGCAAACGCTTAAAACACCAAGCATGGATTATTTATTCTAAGAAAATGCACTAGCAAACAAAACCAATATATCCATTTCATGTCTCACCCTCTGACATCAGATTCAGTTACCTCCCTTCTTTTTATTTCACTTTTTCTCAGTTGACACTTACAGTTGAAGACTTAAAAAACAGTATCTTGAACAAATTCTGGAAGCTGTTACATCTAACTCAGAAATGCAAAACTGGGCACTTGACCAGTTACAGAACTGGTAAGAAACCAAAAAACAAACACTAGTGCCAAGAATCTTACCTCTTGCAGCAATATTAAAAAGCACAAGAAGAGCACACCATTGGTCTGAATTGAACCTTGAAACAAGATTGAATCTTGAAACCTTATAAAAGTTCAAGATTTCCTAGAACTCGTGGTGTAAAAATAATAACTCAAGAAAGCAGATTCCAATGTGGTTGAAATGGGGATTTAATTCTTTGTTGAAGTGGCTGTTTTCAAGGGTTTATCATCATCATCATCATCAACAACAACAAACAACAGCAACAATTAAGCACTAGGAGAAGTAAAACTATATAAGGAAAGGTTCCAGTCTCTCCACTGATCTGGCATATAATGCAGGTGCTTAGTGAAATGAGTGATTACTTGTAAGAAAGTATGATCAACCTCATCGGGTCCCACTCTCCAACTGTCATTTCTTACAACTGCCGCTGAAACATTCCAATGTCTGTTTTAGTATATTTTTATTCATAAGTTTTTTTAAAATATTTTTTATTTAAAAATATATTAAAATAATATATATTTTTATTTTTTTTATTTATTTTTTAATATTAATATATTAAAATAATTTAAAAACTGAAAAGATTAATTTGAAATTAAAAATTAAAAAAATATGGTTAAACCTCAATTTTTGGATACCACCTAATGAAATTACTCATGTTGCCTTTTGTAAATGTGTTCATATAAAATGGAAAACTTTCACAAGTGATAATGGTAGTTTTTTATTCTTCTTCTTCTTCTTTTTTTGTGTTTGAGAAGTAATTTTTTTATTTTAAATTAATTTTTTAATATTACTAAATTATTTTAATACGTTGATATCAAAATATATTTTAAAAAATAAAAAATATATTATTTAAATATATTTTCAAATATAAAAATATTTATAACCATTATTATAATATCAAGCAAACTCTTAATGACTTAACAGGCAATTAATAGAGATCCAGTTTGAGTTGAATAATTAATATAAGAAAAATTGGTTGATTTGTGAACTAGTTCACACATTAATTTTAAAATTTATAACAGTGAAATATATTTTATTATGTTAATAGATGAAGAAGTTTTTTTTGATCGTTTCATTAATCTATTTATTATGGAAATAAAAATAATGTTTAGTATAAACATAACAATAAGTAAGAATAAGTAGTTTAGCCATACCTCAATTACTCTATTGAAATCAAACTCATCTTTACAGAAGAGGCTTGGAGGTTTGCACCACATGTTAACATAATCTCTATAAAAGTGGGGGCATTCAAGCTTGTTCTGCGTGTGCACCTCGTTTTCTTCATTATCTTCATGCACTGGCAAACTAGTTCAAATATTCATGGAGCTTACTCTTCAATTTATTAGGGTTTTTTTTTTCTTACAATCCTCGATCAAATTAATAACAAATACATAAAATTCTATGTGAACAATAGCAAATTTCATGTCCTTAATTTGAATATATAAGAAGATGTACATAAAAAATGTTTTGGAGTTAAATGCAAAGAATGAGTTCCATGTACTTAATCTAAATGTTTTAAATAGCAAAATGGCTTGAAAGCAGAGTTATCAAACTCTACCCAAGTCATGAATCTAGTAATTTAATACATAAATAAAATTTTAATCAGATTAATATTACATCAATCTATCAAATCATGCAAGTTTAATAACTCCAATTCGAAGCTGGTGATAGTTTATGGACATTCCTTGTTACATTTGATTTGATAGTTAGATATTTACGACCATAAGTACAAACATAATCCTTTAATCTCCATGACTAAGCAAGGAAATCATGGCCCCACATTCTCCATGATAACCCATGTGAAACTTGATCCATTTCTTGCGAAGAACCTCATATTGATGTCCCAGACTTGAGAAACTTTTTGCTCTTGCCTCCTTTCTCCCATGTCCCAGCATTAGAAGGTAACGTAGCTTTTGAGCTGTTGATGTGCAAATAAGAAATTTGTAAAGAGGTTTGTGAAACTTTTGCTCGACTCAATTGAGCTATCATGAATTTTGCTCACAACAAGGGGGAAAGTGGCTTTTGAGCTGTTCAATGGCCCAAGAAGAATAGTCAACATTGTACAGGAAAAATCGCTTTCCCATTATTTCAATGCCAGAGAATTCTTCTATGTGTGTGTATATATAATTAATATTTTTTTTAATTTTTAAAATTTAATTTTAATATTAGTATATCAAAATAATCAAAAAAACATAAAAAAAATAATTTTAAACAAAAAAAAATTAAATTTAATAAAAACCCAATGCAACCACGACCTCAAAGAGGTCAACTCTTTCTTTTCATCAACTATTTCACTCCTCTTTCTTTCTCAATGTTATTCCTGTTGAACATTTATAAAACTATGTGTACTCTTGAAACCAACTCCGTTGAAAAAATAGCGTTGGTCCACTGAGTTTTTTATATAAAATTTTAGAGATAGTTTTTTTCAGTAGTCAGAAATATTTGTAAAATGTTGTAATTGATGCTCTTTTTTTTTTTTTGTTTCTATTTGATAATCAAGGAATAAATATTGTTTATCACAGGCAGCCCAGCTGTGTAAATGGTGAAACTAATCCGGGAGGAATAATTAAGGGTCGAAAATCTTAAACAAACGTAATTATCGAATGAAAACAGTTTGAATCGATTGATTTGTTCAAGAGACTTCATTGTTTATGATCATTTGGTGTAGTAAATAAAGAAAATGCAGTGATTGATTTGGTCCATGCAATAATACATTGAAAGGGGTCGAATCTTGCGTATAATTCTTGCATGTAGATCAAGCAGAAAGATATGAATCTGAAATTAAAAAATCTGCCTCACTTTATTTAGCAGGATGCCTCCAAACCTAATTCTTTTTTTATGGAGGTACTCGAGTCCCAAGCCACTGCAGCCACTCTTGGCTTTAATTTGGCTGTAGTCGGGCCTAGTTTAAGATCTAAAAACCACTAAAAAAACGTTCATCTGTAAGATTAGAATGATCTAGGCTGAGTTTTTACGCGAAAAGTTGGAGAAAAACATGGATGGACTAATCATAACTTGGGATAGAAAGGAGCTTTTGACCTTGTAATTATGCTCCTTCTCTAGGTTGCAAAGAACATCAACTAGCAATGAGCTTTGTATAAGTTGCCAAAAAGAAAATCAGAGGAACATGCATGCACCATCACTCTCGCTATAATTACTCGCACAAACCACCCATTTGCCAACATGGATGCATTTCTTCATTGGTTTTTGCTGTTAATAAAGAAATCTAGCAGCTAGTGTTATCATCATTGCACTTACTTCTTGCCTGGGACTGAATTTCCAAGTACATTCTATAATCACATGTGGGAATTATACGAGTGTGCCATCATCATCAATTACTATGGGACCGAAGCAGCAGTTTTTAATTTTTGCTCAGCCTCATCTTCCATGGCTTTTGATCCTTGAAGGGTTACCTAAACTTTACCGATTACTGGATTTGTTCCTATGCGTGCTAGCATTTTAGGTTCGAATTTAAGGAGATGTAATGCAAAAAAAGAAAAAAACTTGCTTGGGTACGTAATGGATGATTTTATACAGGATATATACACATCCACACGATATCTCGAAAATCATCTTGATCGTTAAAAAAACATAAAACGAAAGATAATTGACCAGTCTAGGGCTGTTCATGGCCCAAATGGACCAAAATCGCCTCATTTTAATCTACTGTGGTAGTTGTGTGAAAGCAAAGAAATGGTTTTGGACAGACATTAAAGAAAAAAAAAAAATTTGGAACTGGTCTCGGGTTTAAAGGAATTGTTAGATCAATCCGACAGTCGTCAAATCATTCCAGTGATTCTAGGTCGATTATTTTTATTAAAACTGTTATTAAGATGTGGTATTGGGGTGATTATGCTTTTTAATATTTGGGTATTAAAAAATAAAAGATACGGGGAATTTTTGTTTTGTGAGTTGAAAGAGAGAATATGAGTTGTAAATTAGTATTTTGGTTATTATAAATTCTAAATAATTTTAAAAATTAAGTATGAAGATTGATTATATAAAGAGAATGCATTAATATTATAAATATATTTTATTTAAGATAAGTTGTATTATTTAATTGTCTAATAAAAACTAAGATATTGTCGTATTTTTTAAATTTTAGTTTGTTTAAGATTTAAAAAAAGTCATTCTCGATAAGGTGATCCTTATCTTATTATATAAAACCTAACTATTCTAACGTTAACAAAAGAAGAATTGTCTTTCTATTATTGATAATATATTTTATATATAAGTTTATAATTCTAGATACTAAAATAAAATAAAATATTTTTTGGTATTTTTAAAACATTTGCCTAATTATCATGATTTTAATAAACTGGTTATTAAAACTCAACATACATACTAATACATATTGTTTTGAATTTTTGTTGCATGAAAATATAATATGAAAAATTTTATATTTTTTAAAGACTTGACCGCATGCGTAAAAACAAGACCTTTTTTATATATGATTTTTTAAATGTTTAAGAGAAAATCGGATATTTTAATACTAAATTTGTATCTTTATAGTATAAAATACAAAATAATATTAAAAAATTAATAAAAAATACACTAGAAACCATAAATTTTGAAAGGATATTTTTGAAAATTTCTCATTTTAAAAAAAATATTATATTATATTATATATTATTACGAATATATAATAAAATAACATTGGGATAGACCAACCTAATAATGTGGCCACGGTTTGGCCCCAAAGTAAATTGTGTGAGTTTGGCTTAAAAGGGATTGGGCTGACCTTGGCCCAAAAAAGGGTTGGGTTGATATCGGTCTAGAAGAATGTTGGGACAATGCTTGAAATGGTGTCGTTTAGAACAAAATGCATAATTTTATTTAAAAAAATGACATCAAATTACCCATTGAGTCCTTAATTGATTTTTCAATTTAGTCATTGGTTTTGAATTTCTTCAATCAAGTCTTTAATTGTCTATCAAACTTTAATATTTATACAATTAATCTCTTGATTTGATCATACTAACTTTAAAAAAATATAATTCGATCCCCCAAACTTTAATTTCTTTCAATTAAAATTTAAATTGACTTAAAAATTAATTTTTCTTACAATTAAACCCTTTATAAACTCAATTAATCCTTGAAAAAAAATGCATTAAATCCTTAAACATCTGATTTTAGGTTTTTCTTTCTCAAATTGAATTTTTTTATTAATAAGACCTTTATCAGTAAAAATTATACTGTCAATTTTCAAGCTTTATATCTTCAAATTTCCTCAACCAACCTTTGATTATTTTCTAGGTACTCATATGTTTTTTTTTTCATTATTATATTTTTTTTCAACAAATTTTATTTTAATGAGAATAAAAAAATGAGTAACAATAAAAGTAATATAATT